TTTAATCTTAAAACGGATAAATAGATTATTATTACCTTTAAGCAATACTCATTGTAACACCACCTATTTTAAAAAAAAATTAAATTATAACAATCATAACATGCCTTAGTTCACGTTTTTAAATACCTAATATTAAAAAAAAAATTGTTGTATTATATTTTAATTAACTTTAGCCATATTACATTGTAAGTTTCTTAAAACATAAAGAAAACGGCTAAATTTTAGAGCTGATTTTGATTTTTCAAACTCCGATATTTGGATATCGGTAGGTTTTTTTTAGGCACATTTAACGCATGGTATTAACTTTTAAAATTTTAAATGGGAACCCCTAAATTTGTTGGGATATTCTGTAATCGATTAATATTTTAAATACACAAATGTTAAAAAAGTTTTTTATAACACACTGTTCAAAAGTTATTGCTATTTAAAGTTTATGTTCGTGATGTATATTATGAAGCATTTTTAGAAATATTAAAATCAGACAATCAGATTATAATTTAAAATGTATTATGTTTTAAACAAAATTGTGTAGTTTTTTAAAGTTAAGAATTCTAATGGAATAACTATATTTAATTAAGAAAAAAGTACAAACACACAATAACAAATTTTACAGCAATGCACCTTTAAGTTATTTAAAAAAAAATTAAACATAATTGTATATGTATTATTCTTTTTTAAATTTAAGATTCTTTTACGATATTTTTAGGTCACCTTAGGCCTTTAAGCCTTTATTCAATGCAATGCATTTAAACATGTGAGGTCAGCCGTGTAACTTTCGCTGTTCTCTAGTTGATCGATTATCAACTAAATAGGCGAACAAACAAATTGTCTTAGGCCATAATAGGAAGTGGTGTTAAACCGCTGTTCAGCCGACAACAAGATTATTAAATCGCGATAGCTTGGAAGTTTAGTGGTTAAAAATAAGTTTTGGGTAATTAGATTAAAAGTTATTTAAAATTAAAATTTATGTCTGGTGGAAGGGTGGAATGTTGAATTATTTTTATCTGAGTACAAAAAAACAGTAAATTTAAATACTATAATCTTTTATATACCTATACAAAATAAATTGTATGCATTTAGATGGTTAATGATGTCTCATCATAAGAATAAAAACAATTACGTATTATAATACAACGGAAAAATATTTTAAAATAAAGTTTTATTAACTGTAAATATACATTTGTACAAATTATAAAATCATATTTTAATAAAATAATGAAGGTTAAAAAATAACATAATCTATCTAAACATTATGTAAGTTTTTTTTTATTAGTTATTACTGACCGCTCATCTGTACGCGTGCCAAATTCGACCAATATCAGTGTAACTTTCACGAACCAATTCCAACGGTTTTTCTAACTCTCATATACCTATCTGCTTCCTCTTATAATCAGCTTTTGAAATTTGAAACATAGATTCAGACTAAAAAATTTGGACGCTGTAAAAAATTGAGACTCTAATATGCATCATAAAACGAAAATTGATAAAATTGCGGATATTGTAAGAGATACTAAGTGTCTTATCCTTAATAAAACACTTTGTCAAGCCAATATCTTTGCTAAATCAATTAATTAAAAAATATTAGTAAATAATAGTGTTTATACAGTAGAAAGTTAGAACAACATAATACTCATGACCCGCATTTGTAAAAAAAAAACAACATACTTTTTAATACAATAATATTTTATACTTTCTGACAATATTTTATAACCTGTTGTAGGTTTAAATAGAACCTAGCGTCTTTCTAATATAAGGGCTTCTTATTTACGTTTTATTTTAATTTGATATAATGTGTATTATTACGTAACGTCTTTTTAGCTTGCTAATTAATTAAAAAAAGTATAATATACATAAGTCAAAATTTCCTACTAGGTTATTTTGAATAGCTCATTGCCAAACGCTAGTTTCCAAGTTTAATTAAAACATTTTTTTCAAGTTATTCAAAATTCACTGAAGCATATTATATAAAATTAAGGATGAAATATTCACATTTAAATTAAAAACCAACAAATTTTTATATACCTTTAATTATTGTAGAATTATTACGGAAGAGAAACCGTGGAAATAAAAATGAATTAACATAATATATACAATAAATTAAATTCCAAGGGAAACTTATATAAGTAACCAGATTATCAGAGACTTACTATTTGTGTTTAAAACTTACACACTGTACAACCATATAATTTTATCAGCATCGAAAACATGGTTTTCGTGTTTCAACAAGTAAGTTTTACTACCAAAAATTAAATACACTTAATGTAAAGTACTTTATGTAGTTAACCGTGGAACCAAAATATCATTAAAAAGTACACACTGTATATCTATATGAATTCTTCAGCAATTTAGATTGACTTGAGCCATAAAACACTGTTAGTTATATGTTTCTAATTCATATTTTGCTTAATTTTCAGATTTATAATATGAGTTATTTTCAATTCATTATACTTACACTTGTGTTAGTTACATCGGTAGTAATTATTCAAAGGATAAAAAACCGAAGGCAAATTACTTTGGCTGCTCAAATACCTGGTCCAAAAGGTAATTTTATTGTTGGAAGTCCAACGATTGTAACACGAGGACAAGAAAAGTTTTTAGAGAATGTGAAACTATTATGCAAGAAGTAAGTAATCGTGAATAAACATGTGGGGTTTTGTGGTATAATGTTGTCTAATTACTGAAAACATTTTTAAGTTAATAAACAATTGATACGTGTCTCATCCAATTTGTGAAATACTATAAAGACAATGTAGTAAGACCAGCTTATTATTATACAAGAAAGTAAATACTCTTAGTTTACTTGCATACATTTTGTGGAATAATGTAGCCTTGAACCAAACAAAAAACAAACCCGAGATAATTAACAATTTAAATTATTATCCATAACATATATTTACTTAAGTATGGGAGTTTAAAGATAAAATAGTTAAAACTAACCCGTTAATGAATATCATCACGATTTTTTCAACGAAATGTGATGATCAATTCGGGAATAGTTAGCTTTTTACTGTGGCCCAAATTGTTAACACAAAAGTCTTTAGAAACACATACATGCTACAGAACTTTAAGGTAGAATATATTAAAATTGGATTAAATGCAAGAATCTTTGATTGTGATTATTATGTTAACTGTTTAAATATATAATATATGTATTTATAGACAAATTATAAAACGAGCTCTATATGTTAAAGGTACGAGCATTCATTATTTAAATTTTGGTTGTTTAACAAGCTGGTTGTTTGTATATCCAACGCAAAAGATATAGAAATAGTAATGAATAGTTTCAATTGTTTTCAAAAGGATATACCTTATTCGTTAATTGAAGATGTTTTCTCGGCTAAGGGGCTAATTACAACTAACAATGTTCATGTCTATAAAAAAAACAGGTAAAATATTGTAATTTATAAATATATATATACTAATTATCATCATGTAGCTGAACGGGCCATGCAGGGCCGAAGCTGCCATCATGAGATGTCGAACCGGCGACAGTGAGCGTTAACACACTGTCGCCTTACCCAATCAGCCACTCCTTCTATATATGATATATTATATAATATCATGATAATAAATATTTTATAAGAAACTAATGAATCAAACTGTTCCTATTTAAACGAGATGAATAATTAATAAAACGTATGTTATTTAGGAAAATTATAAATCAATGGCTAAATTATTCAAATTTAAAATCATTGATTACTTTATTCTACGAAGAATCCAAAATTCTCGAACACATATTAAGTAAAAATAGTAAAAGCAATTCATTTGAATGTGAAATAAGCTATGCATTCGAACTAGCATCGATGGACACTATTGGAAGAACAGCGTTGGGAGAAAAATTTAATTCACAAAACAAAGAAAACCATGATTTCCGAAATAACTATGGACGTCTAGCAGAAGTAAAAATTATTTGTTTTTAGTTTATTTTTTATAGCTGCCTCAATAGATCACGCGAAACTGAGAAAATATTATTATGCTCTAACAATGTTGTAATTAAATTCTGTTATGCAGCTTACTGTTTTGTTTTAGATCTTTGCATACAGAATTTCGAATCCGTGGTTTTTAATATCGAGTTTGTTTTCGCTGTCATCGAAAAAACATGAACAACGAAATAGTCAACATGTAATGCATAAATTTGTAAATGGTTTAATCCAGAAGAAAAAAGTCGAACTTAATGAAAAAGCAAAAACTATGATTAACGGGTGTCGTGACGAAGATTGTAGTTATCAAAAGGTTAAATCTTTAATTGAAATTCTGTTAGTAAACGAACATCAAAATATTGGTATTTCATTGATGCAATATTTATTGTTATGTTTCTGTTATTATACTTGTAAAACCTTTGAATACATCATATGTTCTTCTTATAATAACAAATAAGGAAACAACTTATCTCATTCTTTTCAAAATCAAAACCCTACCCCCAAAAATAATTTTTTTACTTACAATAAGAAGCACTATTTCCAAAATTTTGTTTAAGCGGGACATGAAACAACTGCAAAAGCAAATTCATTAATTATATTTATGCTGGCTCATCATCAAGATGTTCAACAAATTGTAATTATTTCTGTAATAAGTTACAATTCCATATTTATTAAAAATTAAAATTATTTAATCATATTTGACCCTAGGTGTATCAAGAAATAAATTCAATATTTTCGGATGGTAATTTAAACAGACCGCCTTCATACGAGGATTTACAAAAAATGGAATACTTAGAACGCGTTATCAAAGAAACCATGCGACTTTATCCAGCTGTTCCTCTAGTGCTTAGACAAGTAGAAAACGAAATGATGATTGGAAAATATCTAATCCCGGCGGGTAGAACCTATTAAAAATAAAAAATAAATGTTTTTAAATTACATGTCTTCACGGAACCTTATTAATAGTTCTCAAATATTATTTTGTTACAGACACAATTATTGCGATTCCCATTTATTGTTTGCATTTAAATCCACAAAGCTATAAGGATTCAGAAAAATTTAATCCTGACAACTTCTTACCAGACGTGTGTCGCAGTCGTCATCCTTATGCGTACATTCCTTTTAGTGGCGGCACAAGAAACTGTATTGGAATGAAATACGCAATGCTTCAAATGAAGACTGCGATATCTACTCTTGTAAGGTCCTACCGTTTTTCGCCATCAGAAAAATGCCCTACGCCAAAGGAACTTAAACTATCGTGTACCATAGCACTGGAATTTATCAACGGATGTTACGTTAAAATAGAATCAAGAACGTAATGAGTAGTTTATAGTATTTAGGTATTTTGTAATTGAGTAGAACTTACTGAGATTGTTTACTGTCTTAAAACCAAATTTAAATACACTTTTTTTTGTTATTAACGTAATTATACATAAAGAATCAAAACTCTATGAAATTCATAATTTCATATTACGAAGTGTTATGTTTCTCAGGATATTTTTATTGGATTTCAATGTTGTATAATAGGATGTATAGTTAACGAAAATATCTTAAATTAAAAAAATTAAATGGTGTAAGCTGGAAAATGGTTTGGAGTAGAAAAAAGCACTGGGTTCTATGTACATTTTTTTTATTAATATGTATTAATTCGAATAATTTAACACCCTTTCATATTTATCTTAATATTCTTTATGTTGATTGGCAATAGTGTACCACAAGAACAAATTGTACGATTTTAATTTATAATCAATATTATAAAAATAATACTGTTTAATATTAAATCGACAATTGCTAAATCTAGTTGTATTTTATTTAGATATTATTTCTACTTTTGCGATCAGAGGGCGTGTAGATGCCATTTTTTATTGATATAAACTAATGTTTGCCTCATTAAATCTATAACGTTTTATAAATTAAATTAAATTTGATAAATTAAAAAAAGTTGAACTGAAGAACCCTTATTTTAAATGGTTTGGTTCTCAACCTTCAGGTAGGTCGCATCAAGTTATTATTAATAATGTTATTTCTTCCGGAATACGTATTGTCTGTGGAGTCTTCTAGCGTGGGCACTTATCTTCATAACTATTCTAAATGTGTATCTATGATCTTGCTGATTTATTCCATCCTTCTAGCTGTTTCTATTTGGCCGATGATGTAAATTTTATACAAGTGTTTGTTAAGTTGTTTTTATTTTCGCAATTAGCAGGAGAATTTGAACAGAGTTTATAACTGGTGTGTTGTAAATGTCAAATGGTCTATGTTTATAATATACCTCTAAACATTTTCACATCGCGTTTTGTCGTAAACGATCTTTTGAACTGTTTACGTATAGTGCTAATCTTATAAATGTTTCGCATATTAAGGATCTTAGTGTAAAGCTAAAAAATGTTATTACATTTTTATTCCTATTTGTATAACTTTAACTATCTTTGTCATGTGCCCTTGAATGCGTCAAATAAAAAAAAAATATTATTTTATGTTGTTTATGATGTTAGATTTCTCTAGAAAGTATAAGAAAAAAATTGACCATCACGGTGAACATAATCATCACGGATGGAAATCAAAAACTAGTTAGTTAACTGTTTGATTTAATTAAATTTCAAGAAAAAATTAAGTCATATTAATTAATGACAAGAAAATGTTTTAGTATAAGATTCTAAAAAATTCTTTTGAACATTGAAAATGTGTCACACCTTGTTGTGATCAATTTGACAACGTTTTTGATTATTTTTTGAATTTTGACTTTTGAGTGTTTAAACGTGAAACTTTACTCAAATTTTGAATAATTAAAAATAATAAAATAGTAAAGTGCAATAAAAAATATGGTGCTTATAGTGCAAATGAGTATAAATTGATTGAAAAAAAAAAGTTAAAAATATTCACTTAAACAAAAGATAATATAGATTAAGCCTACACGCGGTGTATAAATAATTTTTAATTTCCTATATAGAATGTACACTTAGGATAATAACTAAATCGTTAAAGCCTGTATTTATCTTAATATAAAAAAAAAAAAAGTTATTTCATTTGTCTTTTTTTGTGGGATACCTGTATAATATAATTTCATCAGCAACCGAAAACATTATTTTTCGCAACTAGGCATAATTTTTTATAACACATAGTGGGTCATTTAAAGAAAAAGGTTATATAACAATAGATTTAATGACATACAAGTCATGAAATCCTTTATTTTATAGTTTTTGGTGTTAGTTATGTAACTCCAATAAAGTAGTATACTTACCTTGTAGATACGCATAAAGATCAACGCCTTATGTTTCGGTACATAAATAGTATTTTTTATAATGTACACATTATGTCAATGAAATAAAATTTATATAAAAAAAAATTCTTAAAAATATTACCCAAACATTTATAAACTAGTATATGCTATATAATACAAAAACAGTATTTATACCATCATAATAACTCATAAAGTATGATTTCATTAATCAAAATCAAAAGTACAATCATTTAAAACTGCAAGACCATAAAATATACCATAAATGATAAAATCATAATATCGGGCAAGGTCAATTCGTGTTAAACTAAATTAAATATTACCTATTAAAACAATCAAGAAAATGCTAAGAATTGTTAAACTTAAATAAGTTATTAGAAGTCTGTTTTTGTTAAACTAACAAATTATTCAATCAATCAACTGTAAAAAACCGTTTAACATAGATAACCTCAAACTGATATATTAAATTATGAACAGAGTTGGAATTATTATACATACAGTTGAAGGAAGATTTTTTTTGTGGATAACATAAATCATAAATCATTTAAAATAGATTATTGAAGAAAAAGAAACATTTGAAATGTTAGGTACCAATATTTGTGAATGGGTAATTATAGTTATAATTACCTATTCACATCAAAACCATCAAGAAAATGCTAAGAATTGTTAAACTTAAAGAAAGTTATTAGAAGTCTATTTTTGGCATTTATTTATATTTTCATCTATTACGAGATATTTTACCATTTTGTTTGTACTTCCACGCTGTTTATGTAAAATGGATGCTGCTTTCGAGTAAGTAATTTGTATCATAATATAATTAATGAATTTTTTATAATTTTCATTTACTTGGCCGTATTATAGATGTTCTAAGCTTTATATTCTTTTAAAATAATACAAAAATTAAATTCATAATGCGTTGTGCATTTGCGTTAGCTATTTATTCTATTTAGTGTCTTTTAGTATATTATAGTGACATTAAAATTCCCCGCTATAAGAAGTTAAATGTAAAAATTTAATTATGTGAAAAAAAATTAATGAAAAATATTAAATTTTGTAAAAAATATTTGCATTTATATAAAAAATTAAAAAATTATTATATAATTTTAATTAAAGTCTGAATTGAAGAGAAACAATTGAAATAAACATATTTAGGTATAATATATACAAAAAATTTAATTTTAAGAAAAACGTATAAAAGGAACAAGAATATTAGGAATTAACCATTTGTGTTTAAGACTTACACACTGAAACTAGATAATTTCAACAGCAATCAAAAACATGAATTTTCTATTTCAACAAGTAAGTTTTACTAAAAATATTAAATACGTGTTTTTATTTTATTTTTCAAACATGTCTTAGTACTTTATGTAGTTAACCTTTACAAGGCACTAAAGTTAGCAAATATACCATCTCATATTAATAAAAACCCACATTTTTTTACAGTGTTTTTATTGCATGAAATATGATACATTAATATTATTTAAGAATTAAAGTTTAATCTTACAACGGGTAAAAAGATGATTGTTACCTTTGAGCCATTCTCAATGAAAATCTACCTATTAATCAACATTTTAAAACTATATCATATCAACTATATCATGCCTTTAGTCACTTTTTCGAATACATAAATTAAACAAATTTATTTTTGTATTATATTTAAATTGATTTTAGCCATATTACATTGTAAGATATCTAAAATATGAAGAAAACGTCTAAATTTTAGAGCTGATTTTGATTTTTCAAATTCAGATATTTGGATATTGGTAGGTTTTATTTTAGGCACATTTAACGCTTGAATCTAAAATCATACTATAAGTAGTTAGCGCAAGCATGGTATTAACTTTTAAAATTTAAACCGGGAACCCCTAAATTTGTTGGGATATTCTGTAGTCGATTAATATTTTAAATACACAAATGTTAAAAAAGTTTTTTATAACATACTGTTCAAAAGTTATTGCTATTTAAAGTTTATGTTCGTGTGTATTTTATGAAGCATTTTTAGAAATATTCAAATCAGACAATCAGATTATAATTTAAAATGTATTAGGTTTTAAACACAATTGTTTAGTTTTTTAAAGTTAAGAATTTGAATGGAATAACTATCTTTAATTTAGAAAAAAGTACAAACACACAATAACAAATTTAACACCTTTAAGTTATTTTAAAAAATTTAAACATAATTGTATATCTATTATTCTTTTCCAAATTTAAGATTCTTTAACGATATTTTTAGGTCGCCTTAGGCCTTTAACAAAAGTACTACATTTTTACTAGAACAAAAGTAATACATTTTTTAGGCCATAATAAGAAGTGGTGTTAAACCGCGGCTCAACCGCCAACAAGATTCTTAAATCGCGACAGTTTGGAAGTTTAGTGGATGAAAATAAGTTTTGGATAATTACTTTAAAAGTTATTTAAAATTAAAACTTATGTCTGGTGGAAGGGTGGAATGTTGAATTATTTTTATCTGAGTACAAAAAAACAGTAAATTTAAATTCCAAAACCTTTTAAATACTATAACCTTTTGTATACCTATACAAAATAAAATATATGCATTTAGATGGTTAATGATGCCTCATCTTAAGAATAAGAACAATTAAGTATTATAATACTATTGAAAATGTTTTTAAAATGAGTTGGAATAATATTATCAGTAAATATACTTAATATGTACAAATTATAAATGCATATTTAAATAAAGTAATGAAGGTTGAAAACTAACATTATCTATCTAATCATAATGTTTGTTTTTAGCTAAGGTCAAATTAAAATGGATTTGATAACAATGGCATTTATAAATTAGTTTTATTTAAATAATTATAACAGACTACACGTTTGTGCGCAGGCTAAATTTCAGCAATGTAAGTGTAACTTTTACGAACCAATTCCCACGGTTTTTTAACTCTGTTATTTACGTTTTATTATTAATCTAATATAATGTGTATTATTACGAAACGATTTTTAAATGCTAATTAATTTAAAAATTATGGTATAAATATTATGTAAAAATGTCCTACTGGGTAATTTTGAATAACACATTTTCAAACAATAGCTTCCAAGATTAGCTAAATTAATCTTTACAAGACACTAAAGTTGGCATTAAATATCTTCTGTTAATAATTTTAAACCATATTTTTACTGTGTTTTATTGCTTCAAAGATTATATTTTCAATATTATTTAATTATTAAAGTTTAAAATTAAAACGGATAGAAATATTATTATTACCTATAAATAATAACCAACGAAACTCCTCTTATTATTTAAAATTTTGGTCTGGAGGAAGGGTGGAATGTTGAA